AGGAAGTAAATTATATTATTCTGCATTTATAGGTACTACATGCACACAATAAACTGATTTAAGTTAAATACCTAGCAATTATAAAGCCATGGATATAAACTTGTTATCCACCAAGTTATAAACACATTAGACAAGAAATAAAAATACAATAAAGCTTTAAAGTTAGGTTCTATCTGACTCTATTAAAGTTAATATGGACCAGGGTATTACAATATATACATTTAAAGTACCATAATATCATACATTTTAACACGGATTTACATTACTACATGTAATATAAATCCGTGATTTTAAAAGGATATATTAAACAGCTTTTTATACCTCTAAAGATATGCAAAAATTTGAATTAATGTTTTATAAAGAATTATGATGTTATGAGTTTTATCAAAATCTCTTGTTAGTGATATTTCAATAGAAAAATCTTGTAACGGAAAAAAAATGTATTTTCAAAAGCAATAATTGCAATTTGAATTAATATTAAATAAGTCAGCAGTGTTTTAACTTAATTAAATGTCGACAAAATTTTATAAAGTATATTGAATTTGCATACATTATAAAATGAGTAACAATTTCACGGCAATATATATTTTTCTCTATATATCTAACTGGTCAGCAGTTTCCCTATATATCTAACTGGTCAGCAGATTCTACTATATGTTTAACTGGTCAGCATTTTCTCGCCTGAATGTGAAAGAGCGTTAAATTTGCTGACCATATAGAATAAGAAGAGTTTTACGGCTTAAATCAATTTGAATTAACATTAAATTGGTCAGCAGTGTTTTTACTTAATTAAATGTCGACATGATTTTATATAATATATAAAATTTGCATACATTATAAAATGAGTAACAATTTCACGGCAAAATATATATTTTTCTATATTTCTAACTGGTCAGCAGTTTCCCTATATATCTAACTGGTCAGCAGATTCTACTATATGTTTAACTGGTCAGCATTTTCTCGCCTGAATGTGAAAGAGCGTTAAATTTGCTGACCATATAGAATAGGAAGAGTTTTACGGCTTAAATCAATTTGAATTAACATTAAATTGGTCAGCAGTGTTTTTACTTAATTAAATGTCGACATGATTTTATATAATATATATAATTTGCATACATTATAAAATGAGTAACAATTTCACGGCAAAATATATATTTTTCTATATTTCTAACTGGTCAGCAGTTTCCCTATATATCTAACTGGTCAGCAGATTCTACTATATGTTTAACTGGTCAGCATTTTCTCGCCTGAATGTAAAGAGCGTTAAATTTGCTGACCATATAGAATAAGAAGACTTTTACGGCTTAAATCAATTTGAAATAATATTAAATTGGTCAGCAGTGTTTTTACTTAATTAAATGTCGACATAATTTTATAAAATATATTGAATTTGCATACATTATAAAATGAATTACAATTTCACGGCAAAATATATTTTTCTCTATATATCTAACTGGTCAGCAGTTTCCCTATATATCTAACTGGTCAGCAGATTCTACTATATGTTTAACTGGTCAGCATTTTCTCGCCTTAATGTAAAGAGCGTTAAATTTGCTGACCATATAGAATAAGAGAGTTTTACGGCTTAAATCAATTTGAATTAACATTAAATTGGTCAGCAGTGTTTTTACTTAATTAAATGTCGACATTATTTTATAAAATATATTAAATTTGCATAATGAGTAACAATTTCGTAGCATTTAAATATATTTTTCTCTATATATCTAACTTTTCAGCAGATTCTACAATATGGTCAGCATTTTGATAACATATTTTTGACTGTTTATTGTATTTTGTCATAGATAAATCAAGAATGACACGTCGCGTGTGAAATCGATTTTAATATGACCTTGGGGCATATCGATCTCGATAAATTATCAGTTTAATGGATATCTGTGGAAACATGTTGTTTATAATGTAATAAAAGCTTATTAACTATAACAATTAGCACATTATTAATTTTTGTTCAATATTACTTATACAATTATACGAACAACAAATAAGGAAACAGAAATCACTTTATTTCATATTTGCACTAAATACGACATAATAATTATATTTTGTTAAAATATACATTACGTATATGTACATGTATATATTTTAACCTATGATGCATAGTTTTATACATACTTGAAACAAATTATGATTTTTCGTACATCATATTTTGACTACATTTTTAAAATTTTAACCAATATATAACACATAGAAGAAAATTCATTAAGGTACTTAAATAAAATATTATATCAAAATAAATTGAGAAATATACAGTATATATCAATTGAATTTTTTATAATTAATATGTATCATTTGTAATATTGACATCTTGAAAAAACATTTTATCAAGTATTTCTCGACCTCGCCTGTAATATCACCAACGGCAATTTGACACCTTCATTGTTTTCCCTTCTTTATCTAACTGGTCAGCAGTTTTCGATAATCCTTCTTTGTTTAACTGGTCAGCAGTTTCCTATATATTCTATATCGTCAGCTAATTCGTCAGCAGTTTAGTGCGACCCCACGGAACGGGTTAAAGTCTACCAGTTTGTTTGGAAAATGTTTTGGTCATTTTTAATAGTAACACTTGTTCTTTTACTGTTTATTTATATCGCAGGACGTTTAAAACCGAAATCAGCGACTCTTGCTCAAAAGCATGTTGTTGTAAGTATTAAATTATCGGCGATTTTCAACATATATAACGCCGGCTTTTCTTCGCTTGGATCTCAGGCTGTAGAGAACTAAATCTGTCAATTTTCTGCTTCATGATAGTGTAGCATATTATTTGTGAAATAAGTCATAATGGAAACCTCTTAAAGCCAAAATTAGATCATAGTGATATATTTGATACACGCAGTTGCTGCTAGATCTCCTACACTGAATGACATGGTAGCACAAAGACCACTTAGATTAAGTTAGAAGTTGAATTCTGAGGACCTAATGGCAATCTGAAATAGACCCCTTAAATTCTTTATCACAAGCTATATTTACACAGAAATAAACTACAAATATGGAGTTAGCCTACTATACATACACTTGGTTTAGACCCTGGGATTTAATCATAGACGTACAGTAACACAAAGTGATCATAAACCCAAGGAACCCAACTTTGTGCCGAGTCCCAGTGCATCAACCAGCACCTAATCAATTTTTAAACCTATACACACATACTCATAGACATACACTTAGTAACACAGTCACTCTTAAACCTATACATATGTCATGGTTCAGAACTGTTCACTATTTAGGGGATAAGATGTGTAAGTGGCCGGTTAGCTCAATCGAAAGAGCCGCGGTATAGTATTCCGAGGGTCCGGGGTTTTAGTCCCGGACAGACTGCACATTTTTCTCACCCTGTGACACACCTATACTCCTAAACATACACAAAGAAACTCATAGACCTGCACAGTCACTCTTAGACCTACCGGTATACACACATTCTCATACACATACACAAAGTGACTCAAAACCCAAGACCTAATTCATTTTAAAACTTATACACACATACTCATGACAAACTCTTATTAACACAGTCACTCTTTTCACACATACATGTACTCCTAGACATACACAAATTGACTCATAGACCTGCACACAGTACCTCTCTAACCTATATACACATACTCTTGAAAGTATGAGACATACACATAAACAAAATGACTCATAAACCTAGTACACAGCAAGTAATTAAAAACTAAAATTACACTTGAACTTGTAGATATCTTACATGTGCTTACTCATAATTGTTATTTAACACAAAGTTATTATAGACTTTCCACACATTGCCTTTCATAGTTGTTGGTGGAATCATTGCTGTTGGAGGAATTCCAACTTAAAGTTGTTAAGTATATGATGTATAAAAGCATGCCACCTTTACCACTCAAACATGGAGAACCTAGACTAATATATCACCTAGATACAACTTTAGTTGCATACCTTAAGTTTTAACACTTTCTCTGTAAGTAATTAAGAAGAAGGGATTTTTAATGATTGTATTTTATATTTTAGGTAACAGGTGGTTCAAGTGGTATAGGAAAAGCTATAGCTGTCTTAGCAGCCCAGCAAGGAGCAAATGTAACAATCTTGGCTCGTAATAAGGTAACAATCATTGTGACATATTGAGAAACAATAGAAAATCATTTAATTTGTACAAATTTATTTTGGTTTGATTATGTTGGAAGATATAAGCTTATTGAAACAGTCTTGAATAAGTTCCTGGAACCAACCATTATAAGCAATGAATGTAAGGTTTCTTGCTCCAGGAGACATCGTCTTGCTCCTGATGCACAGGAATGTAATAAGCCATTTAATAAAAAATGGCATTACATTAGTGTTCTAATGTGGCGTCATTTGTGTTATATATAAACATAGCGTTAAAGTGTGCTGATCTTAGCGTTATACTATAGATGTGTCATTGAAAAAATACTCTTTAACAGTTTACCATATGGGATAAATAGAATATTATATTTGTGTAGCGTCAATACTTAATTTATTTATTAACTTGTTGAATTAAACAATATAATGATATAATATAATTTTATTCAATTGTTCAATAAATTTCGTATTAAACCTACACTCATAGCATATCCTCTATTTACTTGATTGTAGCTTAGATTAGAAGAAGCAAAAACTGAGATACAGGGACATTTAAAGCCCAATGGAAAAGTTCAAAGTTTCTCCGTAGATTTATCAACTAATTATGATGATGTTAAAAAATGTGTTACTGAGGTAGGTAATAACAATTGTTTTCTGTTTTAATTATTGTATACAGTATAGTAAGTTTACAGATTTCTTTGATAGTATTTATATTGTTTACAAAATAGTTAAAAGGGAACATTACAACAGAAGCTATTGATGTAATTTACATGTATGTTAATATATACACCACTTTTAAACTCACCCCAGGAGATTGTGTTATTGCATTATTTTATTATGATTATTTTCTCAGTTTTGTAACCATCTGTTTCATAGTTATTCATTCACTGTTAAAAAACTTAGTGAACTGAACCAAAATTTTCAAATCATTATCATAAGAGACAGTAAATCATTAGCTCGGTTTTAAGTCATACTGACACTTTAAATATCATAAGGTGACCTTCAGACATTATGGGTGGGAGGAAGATTTTATGGCCTCACTGCGTGATTATAGGCATCTGCATACACCTGAATTTCTGAATAGTTTTCATATAATAATCAGTTCAATAAAAACAAACGCTTTTCTTAAGCTTTCGACGTTTAGTCTTCTTCAGAAAAATTGACGTTTATAAAATAACAAATGACAAATGACGCAACGTCCGTTTAACTATACGCTAAACAGAACGTGACGTTAACGCGGGAATAAAAAACTTTGTCAAATAAATACAGAATCTTTCATGAATATAAATACAGCAATATACAATAAATTACACATATAATATAATATGGATCTGCACATGTGATACAAAAATTCTCATAATTAATAATAATAAAAAACCTTGATATGAGAAAAAACATACTACATTGTATATGTATATTATATCGGCTCAATAATGACAAAGTTATATATTGTACAAAACTTTTGCATTCATACCATTAGGAGATAATGTGTTAAGCTTATGAATCCAGTATGATTCTTGTAATAAGCGTTCCATATCATCGGAGACAATCTCTATGGGCATAAATTTAAAATCCTTAATACAATGATTAGTTTTATTGAAGTGTGTAGCGACATTGGTTGAAAATAACAGATCGGAAAAATTGTTGATATCAAATCTATGGCTATTCACGCGTTTAGACACTTGTTGCTTCGTTTGACCAACATATTGCTCTTTACATTTATCACAAGTGACAAGATATATAACATTTTTCGTAGAACAATCAGTATTGTTATTTACATGATAATTCTTACCAGGAATATTAGTACTACAAAATATATTGCTTTCAATAATGGGTGCAATGTGTACATCTACTTCTATTACATTTGGATGAACATTTCACATTTTTGTTATTAGACCTAACATTAGAATTAACGAGAATGTCTTTTAGATTTTTAGGTCTTTTAAATGCAACCAAAGGTTTACTTTCATGAAGCTTTTGCACAGAACATTTACTTGAAAGTTTAAGTAAATCCCAATACTTTTTAATGATATTACTAATATTAGGTAAGGTTGGGTTATATTCAACAACAAAGGGAATAACACTACCATCACTTGTTTTGTTGTTAGTGCACAGGGCCTCATCTTGTGTTAGACATGAAACCTTACTAAGTGCATTATCAATAACATTGATAGGATAATTTCTTTCTTTGAAGTATGTTCGTAAATTCTGTAAAGAATCGTTGAAAACACCATCGTCAGAAATGATACGGCGATAACGTTTTCCTTGACTGTACGGAATACCATTTTTACAAGATACTGGGTGTCAGGAAGAGTATTCTAAATACTGATGATTATCTGTCTCTTTAACATGTATATCAGTATGTATAATATTGTTTTCGTCTAATGAAACGTTTACATCTAAAAATGATACGAGAGATTTAGAAACGTTCGCTGTAAATTTTATAGATGGATGAAAGTTATTCAAACTATCAATGAAAGCATTCAAATCATCAAGGGAATAACTCCATATGCAAAATATATCGTCAAGAAAACGGAACCATAAACTGGGTTTTAAAGAACGTTGGCTTAAAAAGTCATTTTCAAATTTACCCATAAAAAGCGAAGCGTAAGAGGGTGCCATAGAACTTCCCATTGCTGTTCCCATTTTTTGTATATAATGATCACCGTTAAACTGAAAGTTATTATTTTCAAGGACAAGGGAAAGAAGTTTACATATTTCATTACATGAAAGTTTTTTGGGGGGATTTCTCTCTAAAAAATGTCTGCAAGATTCTACTCCGTCTGTATGGGGAATGTTCGTATATAAAGATGTAACATCTAACGTAACAAGGTAATGTTCTCCCGACCCAAGAGAAGTGGTTTTAAGTTTGGCAATAAAATCAGAAGTGTCCCTGATATACGAAGGTAGATTATGTGTTAATGGCTTTTTTTTTTTTTTTTTTTTTTTTTTTTGAATAGTTTCCACACATAAAAATATCCAAAAGCATTTTGTATTTGATATAGGCTGAAGAAAAGTTTGGCCCAGTGTTCATGTTGGTGAATTCTGCTGGTACTTCAGTGAGTCGTTCATTTCAAGACTTGGATGCTTCAGAGTTCAAGGTAGTAAACAGCTTAGTTTAACTGTTACTGTTTTCAATTTAAGTTTAATCAACATGATGAAAGTATACATGTAATACCAGTATTGTGACTGTTGTATTTTTAACAATAAATTTATAAGGCATTATGATCATTGTTTCAAGAAGCCTTCATTATGTGCATTTGCGTTGATGTAGGTTTAAAACAAAACCTTACACATAAGTTTTTTTACCTTGTTGTGAACACTAGCTAGCTTTATTCTCTGTAGAAACTGTTATATATTTCAAACCAAACTGTCAAACTTTTGTCTTATTCAACAGACCTTTTCCCCCCTGATAATCATTTGCTTTTCGGTGAAAGATCATGAAATAAAATAGAATATAACTATGGCTTCATAAGTAGATGATTTGTCAGTATGCTAAGTTTGCCATGTATAGCTGATTTTGCATTTAATTTTTATCTTCAGAAATTGATGGAAGCCAATTATTACAGTGCTGTAAATGCCACTAAAGCTTCTATTGACTCAATGGTAGAGCAGCAAGCTGGTAGAGTGGTATTCCTCTCATCCCAGGCTGGACAGATTGGACTGTTTGGTTTCTCTGCATACTCTGCCTCAAAATTTGCTCTTAGAGGACTTGCTGAGGCCTTACAGATGGAAGTAAGATGTTGCGTTGTGTTTTGTTTTCATGAATTAAAGATAATATTATGATGAATACGTAGGAATGATTTCTGAATTATATTTGATTTGTAGGAAGTTATTTATATAAATGTTCATTTTTAGCTTGACTATTCAAAGAATAGGAAGAGCTATTTTATTCACCAAGATATTGACAATTGGGTTAAATTTTTGCGTGCAAGTTAGTATGTTAAAAACTACTGAAGGGAATGGCTTGAAACTTCACACATATATTTGAGAGCATAATTGGTCACTGTCCAAGCCCTTAGCTCTGACATGGATTTTGTGAACTAAATGTGAACTTATTTTTTTTTACGTTATCCAGACTCTTGTTTCACTAACAAGCACTGAGAATGGTCCAGCATGCTGTCCTACCAACAACTCTTGATGAAAAAGATGATGTTTAGATAGTTATTGAATAAAATGTGGGAACCTGAGTACTGGGCTTTCTATAAGCTAACTGTATAGCTTCCCACATAAAAGAATAAAAAGTCTAAACCTCAGCAGTTTGAGTTAATGGTTTTGAAGTCAGCCACTTTAACCACTTGACCACAGAAGCCGTTAAAGAGATTTTGAATTATTTATATTTTCAGATGACCCCTCACAATGTCAGGGTAACTGTGGCCTTTCCTCCAGATACAGACACACCTGGTTTCCAGCATGAATTACAGGGAAAGGTTTGTTGTACATGTTTTATGTTGTGACATTTTTATGCCCCCACAAAGTGGGGGGCATATAGCGTTGCACTTGTCCGTCCATCTGTATGTCTGTCCGTACGTCCCGAAATCTTGTAAACGCAACTCCTCTTAAAACGGATGGCAGATTTTGCTTAAACTTCCAGGGATGAACAACCTTAATGTGTAGATGGTAGTTAAAGAGGAATTTTTGCTGCCACCAAATTTAACAGAATTATGGCCCTTTGTTGATTTTTTCACTATATACCATATATATGTTGTTGGTGCAGGCATCCGTGTCCTTTGGACACAGTTCTAGCTACTTATGTTTTTATTGTGAAAATTTGGTAAAAGACTCCAGATTCTTGCTTATTTTTATGAAAATTTGAACATCGTTTTGATAATCAAACTGAAGTAAAGTGTATACATAAATAGATTTAAGCTAACCTTGAACATTTATTATCGACATGCATTACCTT